GGCATATATCAAACAGTAACAAAATATACTAAACTATCATTTATGATAATATTTACTTTAGATTTTAATAAAGTCAAATGGTAACTTTGAATTGGACTGAGTAACCATTAGAATTCCACTTTTTATTATAATTATTAAGATAACAATAAAGAAATTAGAACTCAGTTCTCTCACTTTATGAAATCAGGACACTGGAGTAGATAAATTTGTGTAGTCTAACCTAGCTCTCAAATTTTATGAATCTATGAATAAAATATAATTTTCAATTTTGAAAGTGAAGTGATTTGAGTAAAATTATGAAGAAAATGTCCCACAAAATATATATTCTTCTATATGAATGAGAATCGGTGTATTTCTTGTGATTGTTTTTATTTATTATTTTATTTATTTTGTATTTTAGGGAAGGGTCTACAGGGTGTTCAGGGTCTTACTGCTATGCAGGACTCATAGTGATCCACCTGTTTATAGCCTCCCAAGAGCTGGGATTACAGGCATGTGCCACCAGTCCCAGTTTCAGTTGCCATCTCAATGTGCCCTGGGAGTGGGGCCGGCACAACAGGACCAGGGATGGAATCCCTAGGCCTGTGCACCTCCTTGCAGGCGCTTTAATCCACTGAGCTATTTGACCGGTCCTATTTTTACAACTTATACATTGAACTTTCATATACTTTTGAACTCTACATTAACAACGGATCACTTGAATTTGGGTCATCTTACTCTATTTACTAATAACTTGATTTGTATAGGTAATTGTACTCTAGAATGAAGATCAAAAGTTAAATCCATGGTGCAAGCTGAGATTCATTTCAGTAGACTTGGTAAATAAAATATAATATGAATTGCTAAAGAAAATAAAATATTGGTGTTAAATCTATAGTCATACTATAACTGCTTCCATTTAGTAAGTGGGTAGACTTTGTGTTTCATTTAATTTCATAGAAGTAGATCCTTTTTAAGGATAGTTGCAATAATGTTTCTTTAAGTAATTCCGTTGAGTAGATTTTCAAAGTTACTCTGAGCGCTATCCATACACTGCGAATGATTATAGTTACAAGTAACTTTAAGTTGCAATGATGGCATTGTCCTTTCTCCTACAGGAAGCTCTGATCATGGCAAGCATGGATCACCCACACCTGGTGCGCTTATTGGGCGTGTGCCTGAGCCCAACCATCCAGCTGGTCACACAGCTTATGCCCCATGGTTGCCTGTTGGATTATGTGCATGAACACAAGGACAACATTGGATCACAGCTGCTGCTGAACTGGTGTGTGCAGATAGCGAAGGTACGTGCCGTTGTTTCCTCGGGTAGTGGCATTTCTGTCTTTATATCTCTTAACCTAGAATGGTTTGTATATTAAACATGTCAAGCTTTTGAACCTATTTATGCAAAATAAATTATATTCACTATATTTAAAGACACATTGTAAGGCAATAATTATATCACATCAAACATCAAATACATGATATATTTATATAACTTTAGACTATTATACTGTACCAGCCACATATTTACTATATGCCCCCCCAAAAAAAATTAGCTTACTAGTCAAAGGGAATAATCTCCTACTGGATTTGTTTGACTTATTGTTTGATTCAGTGTTGTCAAGTTAGTAATCAAAGTCAAAAAATTAAAGGTGGAATGTCTGAATTTTCCATTTTTTGATAATTTTATTAAAGTATCCTATAGAATTATCAGCATTTTAAATGCTTAATATCAAAATAGCCTCCTGAGTTTTTAATTGGTTACTGTTTTGAATCAGTTAGGTCTGACACCAGGACTTAGGGTTGCAACAGACTCAAGGAAAGAGGTGTTGTTGAGGTAGGAAGAGGCACTGTGGTACTTCAGAGCTGTCCACCCCTGCTAGAGACTGTGATTTGGAAAACATTACCAGAGAAACCTGCTGTTGCCATCATTCAAGAGAAGATAAAGTGTCAACATTAAATTCTCCAATATAAATCTTAGCACAAAGTTTTGAAGTAATCTGGGAGCTAGGTGAAAGATTCATATTGTGTAGTCTGCAGTGTATAACTTCTATATACATTATATTCAAAGAGCCTTTTTTTAAAAAATATCTGTATCAATGGTGGCAAACCTCTTAGCGCTTGCAGTGATATCAACCACCTTGCTGTGGCATGCATGCCATAGGCTCACACTTATCTATACATTATTTATTTATTTATTTTTAAGGCAGAGTCTCATTATGTAGTTGTGACTAGCCTAAAACTTACTGTGTAGCCCAGGCTGGTGTCCAAGTCATGGTGATCCTCCTGCTTCGGCCTCCCAAGTGCTAGATGACAGCCATACATGACTATACCAAGCTTAGATATATTTCTGGAAACTTCTGCCTCTACAAAAACAGAGATGTGATGAGTTTTTATTCACTATATGAATTAACATATGACCTGGTTGGTACTCTATACATTTTCTATATATATTAACCTTACAAATTAAATATCAAAATATTATTAGTGGATTTGTCTTTTTTCATAATCTAATGATGAATAAATATACCTATAAAAAGCTGAAATTTGACAGAATTCATAAAACATAAGCCTCTCAAATTACTTGATGGATAAGTGGAGGTCAGCTGTACATCACAGAGGCTCAAAGTAGTTTCTTTATGTGCTAGCTGTGTACCTCTCATGTGACAGCCTCACGACTTTGTGGATTCTTTATGGCAACAATGTTTGAAATGTGATTTTTAAGACTGATTTATGTAAAAACTTCTATAATTTATAAAATGAGCTCTGTAGGCCCAAAATCCTCAAATCATCCTAAGATTATGCATTAAAAAGAAAGCTAAGCTTCAAATTTCTTAACTTTATATGTCTTACTATATTCTTCACAATGTGGGTTTTGTCCTTAGGGATTTATGGCAGTAACATGGCATTTATGCAACACTGTGTACTCTAATAACAGAAATTATCTTGTGTAATCAGGCAGTTTTCTACCTGCTTCCCTTTTCAAATGCCACCTCTCTGTTTAGAAGCCTCTTCTCAGAGCTTCTAATTCTCGCATGATCATTTGCATTTATTAGCAGTGACTGGGCTTCCTCTCTTTGTGTGGAGGCTTCCCAAGGTAGCCTTCCTCTTCAGATAGACATAACTGACTGGTTGTTGGCAGCTTGAATACATTTCTATTATCTGCATGTTCCACTATATGTGTAAGTGTCTATACATACACTATACGTATCTGTGTATCTTTCTGGCTATATAGACAACTTACCTAGTCATTAATCCTGCAACAATTATTTGTGGTTACTTATCATATGCTGAATACTATGCTGATTGAAGTACATAGGTGTAAATAACATAGGAATGGGATTAATTCTCTTTGCATGCATTGATAGATTAAGCAGACATTCAAGAAAATGGCACATATTATTGGTTTAATTATTATGGTTCAACTTTTGAAGACATATACTTAATGTAGGACTTAAGGGACAATCCCACCAGATTTGGTCTAAAGGAGAAGCTACTAACCTGACCAGGGAAAGAAAATTTAGGTAAAGGAAAGATTACACAGGGCCAAATAGTTCGTTGTCGAAATGACACAATTTCAGGAATGAAAGGGAACTTTATAATTAGTTAGGTCAAGGCAACCAACATATAGAAAGCCATTAAATAGAGTATGTTTGTGATATCTGAATGTATCATAAAAGTTTTGGGTTTTCTACTAAGTTTACTAGGTAGTTAAAAAAAAACCAACAACATGGAATTGACAATTCAGTTTCTATCCTAAAGAGATGATGCAAGTCTATCTATGCAAATTAGATGGATTTAATGCAAGAATGGAGATGAAGTACCAATTAGGATCCTGGGAAAAGTGAGAACCAGATAAAGTAAATGGAATGTGGATATATTTTTAGTTAAGGCTTAAATTATATCTTTATTGATTAGCTGTGGAAAGTGGGAGAAAGGAATATAGTATGAGGCTGCTTTTCTGTCTCTGATCCACAACTTAAAGGAGAGGTTTAAATTGGCTCGTGGTTTTAGGGGATTAAGTCCATGGTTGGTCAACTCCAAGGCATCACCATGGAGTGTGGTAAAGGAAAGCAGCCAGGAAGCAGAGCAGAGTGAAGCATCAGAGAGAAAGAGATGAAGACCAGATATACAACCCAGACTATGCCTCCGTGACCCACCTTACCAACGCTTTGGGTGACTTCCAAGACAAGGAAGTTGACGCCCAGCTATTGCTTCAAAGTCATAAAATAGAATATTTATTTTAGAAATGTCTCTAAATTATGGGCAATAGGTTCTGAAGGAAGACAGACATGTACAAATATCAATTTCAATAATTTAAGGCTAATTTTCTTTACTTCCATTTCACAGCAAGGTAGACCCATGTAGGTGTGTGAGATACAGCAACTGCTGCAGCATCTACTGTTAATTTTTCTGTATCTCTTTGGTTCTTATTGATAAAGCTGGCAAGTAAAGGGATAGGAGTTTCTATAAAATAACCAATTCTTATTTATTTACTTATTTAGTTTTGGTGGAATGGGAGATTGAATTCAGAACCTTGCACTTGCCAGAGAAGCGCTTATTCTACTGAGCCATCTCCCCAGCCCCTAATTCATCCTTTTATTGTAACACAACATAAGAACCTTAGTAGTGTGCCATAGTCATACTACTTATATCTGCCATTACCAAATGTGATCTCACCCAAGACATTGTTCTACTGATTTCTATTCTATTCCTCAGGGAACTAAGTAAAATGATTAGATTCCCATAGGCAGTAAAGAAATTGTGGAAACTCTATTCTATGTTGAAGTACTTTAAAAGTATTCTTTTTATTTCATGAGTACAGCACTCCATAAAATTTATCAGAAGGCACTTAATTAAACATCAAAACGTTTTCTTCTCCTGCGTATCCATATTTACTCTGCACATGCATCATATGAATCTTGACTTCACTTGGCAAGTGCAATGGAACCTGTTGCTACTTCTTGTTCACCCAAAATGTGCGCATCCATGGAGCTTTAGGAATGCGGGGTGGAAGGTCATGGTGAGAAGTCCTTTGTCACAGTTGGTTCTAACAAGTTGGGCAGTCATTTGCCTAAAGACTGAAGATTCTCAGAAGTGTTTTGTGGGCTCAGAGTGTTGGTGCATAAACTGATAGACTGAGTATATGTGGAGGGAGGGGGTTAGCTTTCAAATCCTGAGACAAAGCATTTTATAAAAAGGAGAGCTGGTGTGGACTCGCAGTTGTGGGAGTTTCTGATCATGGTCACTTGACTGTATTGCTCATGGCCTGTGGCAGGGAGGTATATATGGCAGGAAGTGTGCAGTAGAGTAAAAACCTACTCTCCTTTGTTTGAAATAGACAAAAGCAAAAGGATTAGGGGTCCACTGTCCCCTTCAAGGTCATGTCCCCAGTACCAGCCATCCTCTCACTGGCCCCGTGTCTGTTACCACTGCTTCCCAGTAATGTCAACACCTGGAACTTTGGAGGGCATGAAGGATCCTAAGTACGCCATGGCTGGGACACATATTGTTTCCCTGAATCTTTTGGGTGATTCTCATATATTGTGTAACTTAATCTGTTGAAATCCTAGCAGTTATGGCCCATTAATTCACTTAGTTACAGATGAGGAAAAAGGGAAGCTCAAAAAGACAGGCTTACATGCTGTTATGCTGGGTCTGTAACTGTGCCTCCTGAGGTGGTTCTTTAAACTATACACATTTCTGCTGGTCTTTGAAAGAAGCAGTTAATGCTTACTTTTTTTGGTCTTCTCATTCTTTTTCTTTCTCTCTTCTTAAGTTCTTATAACTTTTTTCTTTCTTTCTTTCTTTTTCCAAATTTGCAAGCATATATCTGGTAATCCGAAAAGCTAAGTTAAAGATAAAATTATGCAATTCAACAAATACTATTGAATTCATATTATTTTGTCTAGTGAAATTCTGCATTATTTCTAATTTTTAGTGCTCTTCTGTACTCTCTTTAAAAAGTAATAAAAAGTAATTCCTTTGTCCATTCACAAGTACATCACTGCAGCTTTTGTTACCTGGTCTCCATCTGTTGCTCTTGTTAAGTAGAGGGTGGGGGGAGGCACATGCCATCTTCATGTACCTGTAACTGATTCCATTTTAATAAACCTATCATAAGAGCACTTTTCATTGTCTTCATGAAGACACATGCTATCATTCACTACAAGCCAGTATTACATGAATAATTATGGGGTATTTTTTTTTTTTTCAAATACTGCAATAGTGTTTTAAGTAATACAATAAAGCAAGCATTAAACAGCTCTCTCATCACTGTGGGTTATAAATACTGATCATG